TGGCCATCATCGGCATGTTCTTTCAGGTGGGGTATCAACATACCAGCAGAAATCAAGAGATGATACGAGATGTAGTAGTCTGTTGTGTTTGTGTGTGTATGCATGGTCGAAGCTTTGTTTTGTAATGTTTCGATCAAATTGTAAGTTAGTTTTTGTTAGCAGGGTGTTGGTTCGACTCTGCATTGTTTCGTTTGACGTCCTGGGCCAACGCTGCCGGATAGTGTTGGTCGGCTTTTCCTGTGTGGATGAAAAGAAAAGCCGTAATAACGCCGTAATAACATCGGAGGTGACAAATGCATTCTTTAACAGTGATCAGGCAAGAGTAAACAGAGGAACGAAGCTTTACTCAGTGTTAAGCAGTTACTTGAAGAACAGACCTCTGAAAAGTACTGAGACCGAACTAGAGCCGACATCTTGTTCAAGAAGTCTAGCAATGGCACAAGCATTGGTTGGATTCCCAGCCATGAGCAAAGGAGCATCGCTGATAGACTACGTTCTGACATGAGAAGCTTAACAGCAGAATACGAAAACTCTTAGAGCAGAATTATGATGACAACTTGAAGATCGGTACACTGCTGAAATGAAAGGAATTCCATAGTACCTCAAGCAGCATGTGATGGTTGATATCACTGATAAGACCACGTATGAAGAGCTGCTATAAAGAAAGAAGCAATCAGGTCAGCTGAAAACATCTTGGATCATTTCGAGTTCCAAATCCAACGTCACGCACAAGCAACAAGGCCTATCAAGGACCAATTTTTCTGACTCGATAGATTGCACATAGGAAAAGCAGATGGAAAAGGAAAAAGGTGACAAAGGAGGAAAAGACAAAGCAAAAGGAAAAGGGGAAAGGTGGTAGAGAAAGACCAAAAGAAAAAGGAAGAGGCTTTGTCCGAGGAAAGGGCATGGCATGTTTTGCGACCTGTGCTGGCAACTGTGAGGAAGCATTTGTGTGTGAGAGTTTGGAATCTGCTGTTCGTGGATAGCTGGGCGCATCAATTACACCACTCCGTCACCTGTGGAGTTGTTATCCAGGTATGCCTTTAGCTTGCGCACACGGGAGTCCGCTCCATGCAAGCCCTTGCATACGCAGGAAGAAAGCAAAAAGTCTTGTGCAATGCAGCGATCGGTGACCGTAAAGAAGATAAATCAAGTACTGTTGGACCCAGTGGGGCCCATCGAAGAAAAGCCAGCCGTTGTAGTTCGCAGCAATGCTAAAAGTCTGTTTTTCGTCTTTTTCACTCTGAGATTCACAAACCAAAGCTTGAAGAATTCAAGATTTGTTCGTCACGTTTGTTCACAAATCCATTGCCATGGTTCTTGGCTGCGGTTCCAGACTTCCTCGGTTCAGCTTGCGTCTCAAGACAAAATTTGTTGTGGCAAATTTGATGAACTTTGGAGAAATCACTCACTCATTTCCAGTCTGAACGACCAACAACTTCAAGAGCTTCTCCAACTTATTAAGGCTGTCACGCAGTCGAGATTTGAAGACAGACCTCAGGAAACAAAATGCTGTTTTTGTGAAAAGTTTGCTTCTTTTAGGTTGCTCTTGAGTACTTGCATGTTTGTTTTCGCATGAGAAAGATTTTTTCATCCTTGGCCTTGAACTGTTTTCTTTTGGAAGCTTGAACAGGCATTTGCATGCCGAACACATGTTTTCGCATGTTTGCGTTTGTTTTTGCAAAGTTCAGACGGAATTTTCGGTGTTTGACTCAAGCGTGGAGTGAAAAGTGAAAAAGAACTTGCTCTGCGTTTCACATGGTAGCGGAGCGCTGAGTGCGTTCCTAGTAAAGCCATGGCAGACGTTCCTGTGCCGGAGACCACTGCAGAAGAGGAGTTTGACCTGTTTGGTCCAAGACCAGTTTCGGCAGCGCTTGAAGCTGCTCAGCTGGAAGCGAATCCGTTCGCACAAGATCTTTCGAAAGAAGCCTCCAAGTCTCAAACCCATTCTGCTCGTGACGCTTCGAAGCAAGCGCCGGCCCTGTTCATTCAAAAGCCCATTGAGCAGGCCAAGAAAGCCTAGCTCTGTTGCGTGTAGCATCGCTTGCCAGACTCAAGTTCACATGTTTGAAAAAATCTCAAAGTTTCGCACCAAATGAAAAATCCAATAAAAGATACTGCTCAACGCCCCAGGCCCACGACGGCCAGGCGGCCAGCTTATCCTCTCGAAACAGCTTCGGGCTTCGGAATAATTTTGGATTCACCCAAACTCAAAGGTCTCATAGAATTCGCTGTCGTCATATAAGAAGCTGCTTGCGCCGAACTCGCCGCTTGGGTGGCTCTCTGCATCAAAACACGAATGTCTGCAGCATTCATAACTATCTCTCCACCGCCTGTTGGCGAAGTAGCAAAAGGATTGGGTACCGGGCCGAGCTTGTCATCTATGCTGTCATCGTCCGGGCACAGGATGCCCCGCCATTCCACAGTTCGAGAATTTGCAAGCACTAATTGCATGAAGCCGCCAATCTGGGTTGGGGAATTCGACCCTTGAGAGATGGTCGAATCTCGATGTCTTGCTGCTGCTACAGGCTGAATAATGAGTGTGATGAGTCATCGGTGCTTTCTGTCTGGTTTTGATTGTTTTTTGTTTTTTCCGGTTTTGGTTTGTTTTGTACCATTTAGGATGTTTTTGCAGTCTTTTACGTGGTTTGGAGCTTCGTTCGAAGGATGCGAGGAAAGATCGAGAAATTTTTGCGACTCACGTCATTGTTCCAGTTGGAAAGCAGGGCCGCTTTGCTTGTCTTCTTGATTGGAGCGAGTGCGGCAGCGACCATGTTTTTGCGAGTGCCCTCAGGCACGTTCGGGTTATAGAGCTTGATTGCTTTTGCTGAGGTTCGACCACAAGAGTTGCGAACCTGGCATTGCATGTGGTTTTGTTTTATAACGTTTGTTGCCTTACCTCCGACAGCCACCTGATGATGCTCACGTTGCGCTTTGCCTTCAGTTGGTCGCATTGCTGCCATTGCGATTTCAGTGAGCAAATGGAATGTTGTACTGGATTGCTGCTGCCGATGTGGGTGGTTGTCAGAATCATGGTCTCTTCTTGGGTGAAGGGTACGGCACTTAATATCCAAGGTACCAGAGAGGCACCATAATTTTGACAACCACCCATGTGTACATAGACGCCGAAGCGATTCTAACTTTCGCAAACAATGTAGACTGGTTCTTCCTGAGTGCACAATGCATTAAGTCACGCCGTGGTAAAGAAGGGGACAGGTAAATCTTCCGAAAGACACATCCTCATTCCGCGAAACTTCACGAAATTTCGCAGGGTTATTGAAGATTCTACATTCGCGATGCGATTTTTTGTTTTACATGTGGACACTCATGTGTTTTGCATCTGATTAGCCAGATGTTTGCTTGATCAGTGTGGCACTGACCATAAGCCGTGGCGACGGTTTCGTTTTTCGTGCAACCTTGGGTTTTAAATCGTGTGCACCCACCACCAGACCCAGCCCTGCTTGGATGATTGCGCTAGCGTGGCGCACCTTCCCCACTTGGGGACAAAGTTAAGGACCTTGACATGTTTGGAGATAATCAGGTACAAAACTGATGGCATTCGTTTTCAAATGCACCAGCACAAGCACCAAACAGCTCAACATGTCAGAGCTCAGGGTCAGTGCTTCCCACCGCGGTGCGTTTATTCGGTCGAGTTGTCAAAAGCGAATCGATTGACGCATAAAGCATCGCATGTTTACCAGTTTACCATAGACCATACCAACACGTACAATTACGAACAAACGCTTCACAGTTTTTTCGATGATGTGCAAATTGCAGGGCAGTTCAACATCTGCTCGAAACGGAGCACATATCTTGCAGCTTGACATGTCAAGCGTTTCAATCCTGCCGAAGATCGTTGTTTCGACATGCAAAAAAATTCACTTCTGATGGCAGTCTACGGCCAAGATTTTGGCCCTGGGACTCCAGATTCGCGATGCCGGGAATGTAAAGTTCAACGAGTTTTCGTGAGTTTTTGAGCTTTGCACGCAGCAGAGGAGATCCATCCGCCAGGCGTCGGGAAAGAGCAGACTGCTTAAAGAGCCTGGAACCGTTTGGTTCGTGGCCGTTTGGCCACCTCAAATGTCTGGACATACAACACACACCGTTCCGCGGAACCTGTTAGCATGCGTGTTGCCCAGTGGCTAAGCGCAACTATGCCGAGTGCTCTGGCATTGCACTGCGTAAGCAGTAGAAAACAGCGTAGCAGGACTTATACTGATTAGTATTCAGCTTGTTCCGCCGTTGAGCAGCTCGGTTGTCATCGCAGCTCCAAAATCCATCCTGGATCAGAGTTGCCGTGTAATGCCCCATGTGAGGCAAGTTACCATGGTGCTCGATGAAAGCGCATAAACGATACTCTTCGTGAGAAATCTCCGACCTGGGCCCCCGAAGTACAGGAACTCTGACAATGTCGTCGAGATGTACCTGGATATGATTTTTGGCGACACGCCCTCGACATTTGGTGAAGCGATGCAGCTGAAAGAGAATAGCAGGAGGCACGAGGTTCAAACCATGTATGCGATCAACACATCGATGCCAATCATCGACTAGATGCTGTAACCTTGGTGGTGCAACCATTCTTGAGGGCTGTGGTAGATGAAGAATAATAGGCTGAGTGCACAGCCCCGCATCCAGACGATGATAATCCCCTGCCATAGTGGGCGACATCGCCAACCATGAGCCTGCAAAGATGCTGAAGTTGGATTGTGTTGTCAAGTATGAGAAGAATTCGCATACATCGTGTTGCCGTTGTGCCTCACCCCAGCCATCCAGCAATAGCTGCCACCTGTTATCATTGATCAATGTGATTGGCATTGGGATCTCATTCCGAAGCATGCTGAGGAAGAAGCTATCTGCATTGTTATCCACAGACAGTCCGGTGCTCCCCAGTCTCCCCAGCAACCAAGTGATGACCTGGACAACGGTGTTCATATAGCATTGGTTACCGGAGTTGCGAAGGACAAGCTGAGTGGCTCGCATGTTTTCGGATTCCGTGCCATTCATTGTTGGCCGTATAGCAAGTCCCGGATGCGCTGCTCCATGGGGCTCCGGCCAAGGCTCTCCGTCTTGTAGCTGGTGCCGATGAGTTGGAAGATAGCATTGTTTTGAAGAATCCTCAGTGTATCCCAAAGGGTTGTCGAGAACTGGCTCCTGAGAGATACATCCATGACAAAGGTTGCCTGAGACGTCATTGTTTCCGCGAGTTTGCGCTTGCAGCGGAACCTGTTCACAATTGGGTGCTTGAGACACTGTAGGATCGTGGCCAAGTGGTCCAGGAGCTGGTCGTCCGGTATGGAGGGTCTTGCCTGGTCGATTTCGAGGTGTTTCAGGGTGGGGTTCCACCTCTGGAACCGCCACCCCGACTCGTTTCTCCATCCGCTGTCCGTGACCTTTTGTAGTTTCTCCTGAGAGGCCAAGACCAAGTTGAGACGGTCGATCAACTCCTTGAATAGGGACACCGCAAGAACCATCCGAAGGGGAACGTGTCCGAGCTTCCAGCCTGGGTCCGCCTCCTGCTGCTGCTTGAATTTGACTGCAGTTTGGTAGAGGTGGCTCAAGACTGAATGTTCCCCCGCGCGGAGGAAGAGGATGTAAGATGTGTCCTGACGGAGTACTTGCAGCTCCTCCTGTTGCTTTAGCACTGTTTTTGCCAAAGTAAAGAGCAATGGATCCCTGTGCGGAGCTCGAGGTGGATGTGGTCCCTGTTGGTAGTGGGGTGGTCGAAATGGTGAGGGCGTCGGCCTGGAGGTCCCGAACGGGTCTCGTCTCCGTTTGTTTGGAGTCACAAAGGGATTCCTCGGGGCATGTGTTGGTTGCATAGGCCCTGGCATCTCTTCCATCTCCTGATATTCTCCAAAGAAGTCCATCATGTCCGGGTCCAGTCCGTGCATCCTGATATCGAGCGCACATCATAGCGCATTGCCACAAAGCTGTGCATTTATGCAAGTGTGCCTTCCAATCCTTGGTCCGCCGCTGACAGAAGTGGCAGGTGACGCTTGGTGTGGCTTTGCGTGTTATCAGCTGTTGCGCTTGTTGCTGGTATGTCCGCAGTATCTCTCCATGTGTGTGCTTGTAGTGTGTTTTCATCACTTTGTGCGTGGCTGTCCATTGATCGCAAAGAGCACAATGTTGTTGAAGACGAGATGTTACACTAGGTATGTGGATGAAGTGGTTCAGTCCCTTCGCAACAGTCTCCTGAACAAGAGGCATCTGTACCAATGGACCATTGTGATCAGGAAGAATCGACAACATGTCATGCTGCTTCGTCTTGAAGATGCACTCTTCTTTCGTCCGCTCGGGGTCTTCCGTGTGTAGATTATCCCTGGGCTTCGTGGATTGTAACCGCAGCTCAGTGCTCGATGCACACGAGTTGGAAGCAACTTGTGCAGGACAGGAGTGGTTATTGATGTGCTGTTCTAAAGTTTGCCAGCGACTGAACTTGCGGAGACAACCGGCACATTGAGGTAGGCCACACAAAGCATGCTTGCTTTTGTCGAAGATTTTACAAGGTGCATCTACCAATTTGTGTGCACGTCTGGCATGAATCTTCAGCGCCGCTGTGTTGCTAAATTGCTGTTCACATACCGGACAAGCCCAAATCTCCTGTTCAGCATCCGACTCAGGCTGCTCAGTCTGAGCAGCTTCGTGAAGGCTCTGGCCGATGGCCTTATTCCATTGAGGGTCAATCATCCAATCGCCAGGTTGTTCAAGCTCAAGTTCCCGGCAATGTGCAGTGTCAAGAAGAGAGGAGGCAGTCCTGATGTGATACGTCTTCATTATCTCATCGTGGGTCGTGCCGGTAAGAAAAGCTTGGTTCGCGACAATTGCCCTGACATGTTTCATAATCGTCTTCTGCAAGGAGTGTACATTGCCTGCAGATAAACAGAGACAGTGAAGAGCGTACATCATGGTGGAAAGCGCGCAACTCTGCCATAGCTGTAACTTGTAGGCAATCGACATGCGCTTGGTATGTAAGATAGACGCCAGCGCCCATCTACGATGATTGGCCTTCGCAAGACGGTGTTGAACTGACTGTTTCTCGTAATGATGATAGGAGATAATGAGGCCAAGGTATTCCGCCTGATCGACCAAAAGCACCCAGTGATTCGGATCACCTGGTGATAGAAGTAATCGCCGATCATTGCCCTGTTTGCGAACATAGAGCTTGTGAATTTTGTGTTTAAGCGGACCCGTGACTGAGAGAATGGCTTGGGTCTTGTCGTTGTTGACCTTCATGCCCAGTCTCCTGAAGATCGCGAACACACATCGAAGCTCACCAATGGCCTGGTCGAATTCCTGGATCTTGGTGAAGGTCCACTTCAAGTGTGTATCATCCGCATATAGTGTGGCATGGTCCTTACACCATTGGTTTTGCAGCTTCTGATCTATCGCTCTAGCCAGTAAAGCAGTAAATGCTGCCCACAGTACAGGCGATCCACAGCATCCTTGTCTCAAGCCCCAGGAGGGCCAGATGTCTTGTTCGAGATTTTTGTGCCGGAAGATGTAACGTACTTGGCCGAGCCATAAAAGAAGGATTTCCTGGACCGAGACGTCGATTTCAGCTAACTCAAGTGCTTCTCGGATCGAGCTCCAGGAGACCAGATCAAAAGCTGAAGAAAGATCCATGCATATCTGCAGTCCGCCGCTGCTGCTGATTGTGGTGAGTCCAGCTTGTTGTTGGTGTGGTGTAAGTCTGTGTCTGCTTGCCATATCTCGCACATAAGAGCAATGAGCATAGACCCTTTTGAGAGCAGTGAAGGTATTGCGATGCGGCACATATGCTGTTTGAGGGTAGAAGTAGATGAGGTTGTGTATGTTTTGCTTGGCTCGAGAGATGACCACCGACATGAGGCACTTGCCTAAGGGATGCTGGATACCAATCGGCCTCCAGCTGTTGGGTGTGTCGTTCTTGTTTTTGGGTTTGGGAAGAAGCGCAACACTTGCATCAGCCCAGTCCTGTTCAATGGAGATAACTTCTTGCTCCCAGTCGTGGTTCACCTGGTCGGTGACAAAGGCGGTGACCTCTGTAGAGCAAGCCTTCCAGAGCACTGAGGGTGCTGCTGTGCACGGTACAGCTTTGCGAACCGGGAGATGATCAAGTTGATGCCATAGCTCGAAGGCCTGAATTTGTAACGGAGGATGCTCTCGAGTTTTGCCAATTGAAGGCATAGGACGAGCTCCATACCTCGACCCGAACTCTTCGATGATCCAGTCCAGCTCGGCCTGGGGCGTCATGATGTGTCCGTCCTTGTGTAGCTGCAGTTGTTTGCGTTTGCTTTTGGGGGCCAAAGTCTTGACTACTTGCCAGACCTTGTGCATGTTGCCCTGTTGTGCTGCTTCTTGTGCAGTCCGTAGAAGATCGTACTTCCGCTCCTTGCTTTTGGCCTTGGCGCGCTGTTTGTGTTCACGGTGAGCTTTGGAAAAGGTAGCCCATTGCCTCCAAGCTGTGACGATGCCCGTGGCCGTGAAAGTATGCGATCGCATGGTCCTGAAGGTAGCCCACATGTGACGGGCACAATTGGCGAGTTTTTCATCGGTAGCCTTGGGAGCCAATTCCGTAGTCACCTGCGCAGGGTAGTGTGTCTGAGCCAGGTGTAGGAGACCTTGCTCCAACAGAAATGGTAGTCCATTCGGCCTGTTGAAGATGCTGCGCAACACCTTCGCGAAGGGCACGTAGTGCAGGAGGTGGGTGTGGCTGCCTGAGGTCATGAATGATCTGTTGATTGTCGAATTTGGGTAGCTGTGAAGAAGGGGCCTTGGGCCATTGATGTTCAGGTATGGTAACCTGTGCCAGAACAGGGTGATGCTTAGCTCCATCCCGCCATGCAGCAACGGGGAACTGTGTCATTACCGCTGCCTGCTTGGCACTGTGTGTGGCCTGATGCTGTCTACAGATGATGTAGTCGATCTGAGAGGCCAGATCCCCAAAGGTGAAGGTGGCGAGTTGCCTGTGTGCCGGGCGACCCCAGGAGTTAAGAACAGTGAGCGAATGCACAGACAGAATAGCCATGAGGTCACTCGAGTCCTTGTTGTGAGCTTCCGCAGAGGGCATAACCCATTTGCCACATACCTTCGGGAGAGGGGTACAGGTGGTGTTGGCATCGCCCCCCAAGATCAGAGTGTTCCTAGTAGGTAGGCCTTGTAGAGTGTGTCGAAGACGAAGAAGAAATTTGTGGCGCCTTTCAGCAGTAAGCTTGTGATCGTTTGCAGAGTACTGGTACATGTTCAGTACGTCGATGGGTTGCCTGCGATTGACCCGAACATGTAGAAGACGGCCAGGGTGAACAGCATGAAACTGAATATCAGTGTTTTTCGGAACTACCCTCACTGAGATCATCACGAGGACTCCACCGACTCGGTCTTCTTTGGTTTCTCCAGCAGAGTGAACGAAGTGAAATCGACCTGTGCTCCAATTGCCATCAAAGTTCCATTTGGTCTCTTGGATGAGACAGATGTCAATTGCAGAATCAGCTGCAAAAGTCTCCAGCTCCCTGAAGACTTGTGCGTGCAACCCGCCTGCGTTCCAGGTTAGAGTGCGAAGGGTCTGCTGACGTGTCACCGACCTGGGAATGTTGGGTAGTGCTTGTGTCCTGATTTGCACAGGTCTGTACCAACGATGCTCTCGCCAGATGCCTCTGTAGTACGATCCGCCTTCTCGGCAAGCTCGTGCATATGCTCGCCTGTATGTTCGCTTAGCACAACTGGAAATGTCTCGAGTATGAGTGGGCGATTGAGCCTCCCGAATACCCACATGCTTTGCCACAGAGGCTCCAGACGTCCTAGTGGGATCGACGTCAACCCTCACATCTGCATTAGTGGCGCTACTCGGTGCAATTTGTGCAAAAAGAATCACGAAGAAGAGCAGCATGATTGCACTGGTCCTGTGTGGGCCTCCACTAATGCGGTCGGACTTGGGACCGACCCGGCTCGTATATGTAGTCGGTGTTTCTATGCCTGTCGTGGGATTTGCAACACGGCGTGCATGACTCCATAGTAGTGGTAGCGGAGCCTGGTGGATGAGCAGCAGGATTTTCTTCAGACCTTCGAAAGTCCTGACATACATGACGAAAGCAAATATTGAGGTGGCTCGGTATGAGGGTCCCGCCATCGTAGTCAGGAACGAGGTCATTCTGTACCTGGCCGCACATGAGCAGGTAGAGCAAAGCAGGGTGAAGATCATCAACAAGTACAAGGGAACGAAGAAGAGCAGCAGAGTGCAATTTCCCCATGTCTTTTCCGGCTCCCAGCTTGCCCGATTGCACAGGGATCTGCATGCCCCATTTCGGGGTTCTGCTTGCCACAGCCGTTTTGTCGGTCGACTGACTGAGTGCCGTATGATCCTACCCTCACTCTGCTCTAGCAGCCCGAGTTCGCCTGGTGCATAGAAGCTTATGCAATACACCAGAAAGATCAAGCAAAAAGTGCTGCTGTGACCATGTTTAGACTCCTGAGAATCGCACTTTCTGTTGGCCTTCGGCTTAGGTGTGGGCTCGGCCGTGATGGTCGTACTCGGTGGTGCTATGCTGGTACCCGATGGTGCATGTGAGCTCGCTGCAGCAGGTGCTCGTCCAGCCGGTGCTCCTTCTGAATCATCCTCAAAGAGCTCATTGGCCGCATCGCTGCTGGCATCTGGTCCTGGGTGTGGCCCCTCCTCTTCGCTGCCCTCCGGATTTTCGTCCGTGTATTCCAGGATGTTGGGGTGCTCCATTTCGAGGCGGGTGAGAGGCCTGATGATGATACATAGTGATTGAAGCGCCTGCCATCCTTGTGGCATATATGTCAGGATTGGCCCTTCGAAGTGGACCCCAGCCTGACGGTATGCATCTCCCACGGCTCCAGCGATATGGTGTGCAATGGGTTGTTCAGCTTGGACTGGTTGAGGAGGCGGTGGCCCATACGGGCCTGGTCCTCTCGTTGGCGGAGGTGTCCCGTGAGCTCGGACGATCTCCTCTGAGTCAGAGTCACGGCCTGCCATCCCTTTCCACAGTCCTAAAGCCTCAAAGCTTTCTTGAGCCGCTGCCCTGGACTGTCTGCCATGAGGAGTGTAGCATGTATCGCGTATCAGTTGCATGCATTGCTGCAAAAGGCTGTCCAAAAGAGCAGAGTGCAAACACCAGCTTCGAAACAAGACTCGCAGAGGGCACTGTTCAAAGAGCCACCTGAAGAAGGATCTGGTCCTCCGGAGAACGACAGGCAGTCTAGAGCACTTAGAGGTCCTTCTCTTGCGGGTCCTTCGATAATGAGCTGGGTGTCTACGACGCCATAGCCGACTGGTTTTCCCTATGCAGAGGGTGTCGGGAGGTGCGCGGGAAGTGGTCCCGCTAATCCATGGCTTGCAGATCCAATTGGATCTTGTGGGACGGCTCCATGTCTGGCCACAGTAATTGTAGCCAAGCTGGGTAGTGTAGTCTGCAAAACCGCTGAAGTAGGGATTCATCAGGAGGGTATTTGGAGGTCCGGGCGCTTTGTAGGATAACACCTGGCTGGGCATGCATCCATTCGATATCGAGCTTGTCGAAGTAGGCTGGATCCATGATGTACCCGCCTGCTTCCAGTAGCATACATTGACCAAGAAACGATCGAAAGTGATCTCGCTGCTCAGCTCTACCACACAGTTCGCGTGCATACTCCTGGTCCTCTGATACTGGGATCTTGTTGAGACTTCTGTCTCGCAGGTGCTTTTGGCGTATGCCACGCACGTCGCACATAGCAGAAGAATCAGCATCCCATTCGTAACACCACTGCAGAGCCGGAAATTCGTGAATGTCAGAGCACACGGCTACAATGGCGCACAGAGAGACAGGCTAGCCCTTCGGGGCTTCCGACTATTTTCAGCCGAGATGCTTAGTTTTCGTGAGTTTTCAACTGGAGTCGTTGTCCTAGCAAGAGTGAGAGGAAGCGCCACGAAGATGTCATTTGATACTTGGTTTTCGGTTCGCAGCACTGCATTCCTTTGCTCGGTCATGGCCGAGCAGTTTTGCCAAAAGCGCCGCAAGGCTTGAAGTTTGGTGGGGTTTCCAGTCATTCCTGCTACAGCATGTGCAAAAATCGCATGTCCCATGGCGGCATGCGGTTTTTTAAGAGCAGAGCACTATGTGCTTTGGGAAGCATTCGGTAGATCCGAGCTTGACTGAGGTTAAAACATGCGGCTCTTGCCGCGATTATCCCTGGCATCTGGGCGGTTCCTAATAATGTTCGCAGGTGTTCTCCTATTTCGCAGTCAGAAGCATGTTCCAGATGGGATGTCCGGGATGTCCCTAGGTTGGTTTGGAAGGCAGATTGCATCGGGCGGTTGCCGCGATGCTTACTTCCTCGAGTAGAGGCTAGCAGTGCAGAATATCCACGTGCATGTGACACACGCATACGCATGGTGCACGGCAAGTCTCTGCACGGAGATTGGTGCCCATCGTCACGTAGTGACGGCATGACTTTCCATGTGCATGCTTCAAGTGATGGTCTGGGAATTGCCGGCAAAAATGGACATATGCCAAGGAGAACCTGGACTTAGGCTAAGGAGAACACTGTGCAGGAGACATTGCGTAGTTGCAGCGGAGAGATGGAAGCAAGTCCGAGTGTTCGTGCCCGTGGCTTTAGGTCCTGACTGGAGCCAGAGGGGTGTTGGCTTCGTGCATTGCTGGAGAATGTCCAGATGTACGAGATGTGAAGGACATGGGATACACTGCGTGGCATCAGAGACATCACTCCTATCGCCATATTGATGAGATGATCCTGTCTGATCGTGTGCTTGGAACGTTTACAGACCTGGTGCCTGCAGGGATAGCAGACTTGGGTGGATGTCTAGGTTGGGGTCACACCCTGTGCTAAAGTTGCGCTGACCGCCGAGCGACGAGCAGTTGTGTATCCTTCCTTCAACGTGACAGAGCAGCAAGAAATTGAGAAACCTGGAAAGGGAAGACGATAACATCGAAGCATGGCGCTTTTCAACAGCAGTGTGCACGAGGTCTGACAAGGTCTACTGTACCTGACTAGTGATGATTGTGATCGTCGCCTTCGTCACATGAAATGCCTTGACGCGTGGTCTGTAGGTTCCGTGTCTTCGCAGAGCTTCAGGACGCAGAACCGAGCTTGCTCCAGCTCCATCATCAAGGTAAGTCCTGGATCCTCGGACGCAGTTTCCTTTAGACGGTCAATTTAGCTGGTTACTGGGGTTTGCAGTGGGGGCGACTGGGAGGATCACCCAGATGGACTGCAGCTGCCTCCGGGTTGCTTCTTTTTTGCAAGCTTGGAGTTTGTCACTCTGCACAACGAATCTCAACCTAAGGCTCTCGTTAGGTCGCATCAAAACCTTTGAACGTGAGGTTCGATGGTTGGCTTGCTCCGTGGGAGGCCGAGGTTGTAACAAAGTGATGGTGGCCTTCCCAGTAATTCAAAACAATCGCAAACAGGCCGACTCAAAAGAACAGCGTAGGCAACATGTGCAACCATCACCATTCGAATGGCAACGCAGGTTGTGCAATCACCGCTCAGGTCTGCAACGTCATTCAAAAAATTGCAATGGCTGCTTTCCAAAATATACAACTTGAAATTCATACATCTCAGATCGACATCAGAGCACACTAGGGGCTTCGAAGGAGGCTTCAAGGTGCTTGAAGGTGTCAAGCTGAAGGCTTAAAGGGACTTCGGACAATTTTCGAGGAGCTTTTAGGTGCTGAATGGGCGTTCAAGCGGTGAATTTGACCCCTCCCAGGGGATTCGTAGGGCTTCTGCTTCTTTTTGTTATTTTTCTGTTTGTAATGTGTTCCATCAGGATGCTTCATGTTTAATTTCTTGCTTGAAGTCCCTCTAAACCGATTTCGTGGCTTCCTCTGTTCGTGTCGAAGAATTTTTTTGTTTGCTTGTTTTTCGACGCCGCAGGCCAACTTGCTTCTCTTTGCTCTGTTACCCTCCCAGGTGCACCGCGAACGGACAGGATCCGTGGGCCAGTGGCCAGCGAGTCGCTTAGCCCCATGATTACGGATCTGATTGACTTTGCTGGGTTGTTCCGTGGTTTTCTCCAGGGTTGTCTATGGTTTGTGTTCGTACTTTCATCTGACTTGCCTTACCACCGCACGTGGTTATCCAAGCTTTTCTCTGATCGTTCTACTTCTTCTTCGATCAAGAACCCCCGCCCTCACGTGGCAACGCAACTTTCGGAGACTTTGATTGTCTGACTGAGTTAGGTGGACTGCTGTGCCGGCTTGGACATGTGTTTCGGAGAGCACCAGAATGGATGGAGCTACCGCTGCGAGTCCTCATGCTTCTTGGCAGAGGGGGTGGTCGGAGATTGGACTTCAGGATGACGACGCAAGAGGAAAGGCCTTGCAGGCAACTGTCCGCATGTCGCAATGCATCCCAAGCAGTGCGCATGCGTCTACGATCAGGTGCCGTGGGCAGCACTCCTTGCACGCCGAACGGCCAGGATCCTTTCCAGACCTCCAGCCTGGTGCAGTGCCCGCACAAATAGCTCTGAAGACTTCTAGCATGAAGTGTTCTCCCGGTGACTTCCCCTTGTCTGCTCTGGAAGCCTCTTTGCAAATGGGGTCCGGGTAGCCATGGTACCGCTCTGGCTTGTGTTTGGGGTTTGAAAGTCTGTGCAATGTAAACCGAAATGCAACTAGAAGAAGGGTAAAGACATAGATAGGCAAGACAGACAAATACGAGACGGCTACACAGACTACACAGATCAATAAACAAATACATTCAAGACTGCATTGATTCAGAGCAAACGAGCACCAGCGTGTAGCTAAATACAGCTATACAGTTATACAGACACCGAGCACAAACGCGTACGCAAGGGTTTATATACAACATATCCTGTATGCTTATGTAAAACGCCTGGCTTTCCAGGGTGCTTCGGAACTGAAGATCTGCTGGGACTGCAGAGGTCGAAGCCCGGTCTTTGTTCTGGGCTTTGCCAGGTAGAATGCTGCACTGGCTTGGAGATGTGCCTGGGTCAGTATGGCAGCAGTGAAGCCTTCGGCTACCGCTGCTTTGAACAGTGCCTCCAGACAGCACCGGCAGACCAGCACTTTCCGCAAGCGCCGGCTTCCCAAACCCCGAGCCGGCCCGAGCCCGAGCTTGGAGGTCCGGCCACCTGCACGCAGAAGGGCGACAACGTCTATCAGAGCGGGGGCCCCCGGCCCGACGCAGCGTCAGAGCTCCTGGCTTTTCCACTCTGTTTTGGTTGAGCCCGCCACAACATGGAGTTTCTGTAGGTCAGGGTCCCTGCTCCTCGTAGATCTCCACCCCTCCGGCAATCCGGAAAGCGTCCCCACGCCTGAAGCAACTGAACCGTGTGTGATCTGAGCTGGCCGACACGTTCCCTGCTGCGGCGGCCTCGAGGAATGCTCAGGAGACGCGCGGTTCTCCGATTGGCAAAGCTTTCCGACTCTGTTAAACTGTTAAACTACATCACGGATCTCTTTGTTTATCGTTTTGACTACGCCTTCGTGTCCGGCCCTTCCGGCCTAAGGACTGGAACATGCCGCCGGGTTGCAGGTTGAGAAGCTTTGGGCAAAGGAGGAATGAAAGGTCTGTCGTGCCTTCCTGCGGCTTTTTTGTTGGCACTGGTAACATAGCCATGAGATTTCGCATCTCAGTGCAGAGACCCGTCAAACTGTAGGCAGTGCTTTGCCTCACTTCTGCGTGTCTCAGGGATGGCCAGTGGTCGCACAGGCCTGGTGCGACGGTTTGCCTTGGTTGCTCAGAGATTTCATATTACTTTCATATTGAATGTCAGAGGCCGAGAAGCCCTAACGGAAAGGCACCAACGAAATGGGCAAAAGCCAGGTGCTTCAACAAGTGCTGGATGGGGGAGTACCACCCCCACTTCGACACCACCCCGGACTATTTGGACATCGCGGCCAGTGCCAAGGGCGTCCGAGGCACAACTTTGAGTTCTCTGCTGCTTCTGCAAGCTTGCAAACTGCAAGTAGTAGGATGCCCGGTGCTGCAGATACCATTGCCGTGTTCTAAAGTTTTTTCAAGTTGCCTCGGCTTCCGCGATCAATTCAGTTCTGGAGCTGCGCAGGATTGAGGGCGTTCCTTAGGCAGGCTGTTGGCCATTGTGGACAGCTCCCTTACCTCCTTCAGGGTAGCGACAGGGCTGTCGGATTTGACGTGAGGCGCATGTGACGGCTGGCAGTGCCTTGCCTAGCATCGTCCACGCGCAAAACCGCAACTGTGTCTTGAGCAGTTTCGCCGTCCCTGCTCGTCATGTGGAGGCAACGATGGGGATCTCTCCGACAACTACTATCTGGTGATCGGCGACAATGGGGGCTGCGCCGGAGGCTGCGATGGTTGCTGTGGCTGGCAGCTCCTCGGCTCGGAAAAAGACGAGTTGGAGGGAAGCGCCCCGCTTCTCGGCTCCCGTTTTTTGACCGGTGGCTGAAACTGCAGGTGGCAGGTGGCCAACAAGATGAAGGAGTACGTGCACAACCGCAAGGCCGCCAACCCCAGGCCCCCGGCCCGGAAGGTCTCATGGGAGAGGATCATCGTCTCCGTTGTTTTGGCGGCCTTGGCGGCCATAATGACATTCATAATGAGTGGTGGTGGCGGGTGTTGTGGAGCAGCCGCAGCGGTGAGGGCTAGCAATGGCTAGCAGCAGTAGCAGGTTGGCGGTCGCAGTCGTGGTAGCAGTAGCAGTTGCAGTCACAGTGGCAGCTGCAGTAGTCGTGGTCGTAGGCGCTGTCTTGCCGTCGTCGTCGTGGTGGGTGTGGTGGTGGTGGTGGTGGTGGTGGTGGTGGTGGTGGTGGTGGTCGTCGTACTAGTACTTGTAGTCGTCCTTGTAAGTAGAAGGAGCAGGAGAAGCCGTTGTGGTCGTTATAGTCGTTGAGCCAACTACAGCACGAATATCTACTCGCAGCATGAGGAGGTGGAGTAGTAGGCGCAAGAGGAACCATGCAATGTAGAAGGACAGATTCGCAACATCGCTATCTGAAGACGGGGCACTAGCATTGGCTTCAATAGCACAATCCTTGAAAACAGTCGTACTGGTAGCCTGCAGAGCGCCAATCCGATCCTTCAAGAGCAGCCTTTTTGAACCGCCCCAATAGATCACCGGCCTGAAGCCAGTGACATCGCATTTCCAAGAGCTTGAAAGAGGTCCACGCTTCTCTTCATCCTGCTGGTAGGCGACAACTTCTATTGGCACCTATGCCGCACATGAAACTTGGGAAGAAAGGACTTGAGGAGCTTTCAAGCATCAACAAGAACATCCAGAAAGAGAGCATAGACTCTACCGGAAAGAGAGCATCGATTCTATCGGAAACGCAGATCCGCGAGTGAGAAAACGAAGGCTCCGTGTCGCTATTCGGGGGCTTGGAAGACCGCAGGTCTTATGGATCAAAAGAGCCTGCAAGGAAGCTTTTGATCCGGTTTACTGAGAAGTTTCGGGTCCCGACGCCCTCGCCTAGTACCCTCCTCCTCCTCCTCTGACTTTCCGTTCCTTTCCTTTCCTTTCGCGCTCTCTCCTTCTCGCTCTTCTTCTCTCTTCTGCTCTCTTCTCTCTCTTCTCTCTTCTCTTTTCTCTTCTGCTTTTTCCCTTGCCGAGGACCGGGGCGAGCCCGGGCCGCTTCGACGCCACGCGCGGGGCCCCAGCCCGGCTTGGCCCGGAGCGGGGAAAGAGGAAGAGAGGGAGCCGAGAGCCCAGAGCCCAGCCCAGAGCGGTTTTTTCAGTTCTTTTCCAGCCCAGGTGGAAGTCGGTGTACCAGGAGCTGGCGGATTACCCCTGGTTCGTGATCCTCGGCAACCACGACTTTGGCAACGACGACCCAGACTGCCTCTGCCCCTTCTTCCATGAGAGGCCGGGACAGCCCGAATCGCAAAGCCTTGCGATGACTCCGCTCGCCTTTCGCCTTGGTTCTGAGACACCCAGCGTAGCTCGAGCTGGCGAGCTGGTGTTGGTGCGCCCTGCTTGCGAGGGCTCGCTGCACCGCTGCTGACGCCACTGCTGCTGGTTGTGGCGGTGCCAAACCATACTCCATCGCCAACCAGTCGCCGACCGCTCAGGGATGCGAGAGGATGATGCCGGGCCAGGTCTCCTTTGTTTCATCCTCGAGAGCTTTGGAACCAGTCCGGAACGGCAGACCCATCATAGGAGGACTAGCTTGACGTGTGTATGTAAGGTATGCTTGCAACCAGCTGAATGCCGACAAGGGCGGTGTGGACGGAGACTTGCGCAGGACCCCAGATTTGTCTGCAGCTTGAGAAGCACGTTCGGTGCTGCTGATTCGCGCCGTGCAGCTTAGCATAGCCAGCCTTTTGTGGAGCACTGAGCGTGGAGGAACTTTCACATCCCTGACTTCACCTTCTTCTACACGATCCCGGAGCTGGACTTCGAGTTGATAGGCAGAAAGGGCACGTTCGCTTTTGAGGTCCTCTGATGTGAGAGGCCGAGGCTATAGACAGCGCAGCTAGTCGTCGTGTGCCAGATTCTAAGGCGCTCTCTGAGATGCGCTTTGGTGCTTTAGCGGCATGCTGCGGTTTCGCTGCGGCCAGGCCTGGACTACAACTGGTACGATCGCCATGGCATCGGCGGCAACGGCTACGGCGGCCCGTCGGAATGACCTGAAGCTGAAGCCACAGGAGGCCACACACCACCGGCCTCCCTGGAAGAGTGTTCTCTTGGGTTGAAGGAACTTGTGACGTTGAGCCCTGAGCCCGCAGCCACGGCGCTGGTGTCTAAATCCTGGCCACAAAACTCGAAGGTCAAGTCCGGAAATGCAAGGCCAAAACTCCGCAGCCTGAGGTCCCTCGGGCGGCGGGCGCGGCGTGGCCAAGTCGTGTGGTGGCGTGGCGCGTGTGGAGGCATTCGGCGGTGCTGTCTCTAGCTCTGAGGATTATAAGGCTTGAGGTAACCCTCCTGCGCCGGGCCATTGGCAGAGAAGCTTTCAGTTGCGGCTGCCACTTTCTTGCTTGGAAGTGCTGTGATCTTTGGTGCTTTCGGCTTTTCTTTCGCGTTTTTTTGTTCTTTGCAGCTTTCAGCTCGCGCGGTTGGAAGGACAGCCTGGCGCGGCTCCGGGATGCCTCCAACAAGGCCTCGGCCGTGGTTTGGGCTTCGAGGGGGTTGGGGTCGGGTGAGGGCGTCCAGTCTGGGGTCTCACTTCTCAGCTTCCCGAGCTTCCTGAGCAATCTGCGATCTGCAGCTGGGTGGCGCTACAGAGCCCGCGGGGAGCTGCTTGGAGCAGCCTGGGGCGCACAGAGCGGCGCCGCGGGGAGAGCCGAGCGCGGACGACGCCTCGCGAAAAGTCTCTTTCCCCCCCCCCTGACCTGAGATTCTGCGCAGAGAGCCGCGGAGCGCAGCGCAACGCGTCAACGGGAGCCTCAACTTCCCACACTTAAAGCAACTTTGAGATCTTAAGCTACTTCAAACCCCCCCCCCCAAAGAGAAAAGCGAAAGCCGAAAGAAGCCGAACTCCGCCGAACTCCGCCCCCGGCCCCGTCAGATCCTCGACGAGCGCGCCAAGGCGCGGGGGGGGGGCCCGGGCCCGGGCAACAAGCCGAGAAAGGCTTCTGAAAGAAGAGGATGTCAGAGGGCTCCGGAGCCCCAGTGCCCGTTTGGGGCTGCGCATTGCTCCGCTGCCCGGAGGCGGCGGCCTGGACCAACTATGCCATCATTAGCCACTACCCCGACTGGGCGCAAGAAGGCACGGCCGGGCCGAGAGCCGAGATGCGGGCGGCATGCGGGCTATGCGGGCTCACTTCTAGCTTCCGCGGGCCTCCCCGGGGCCTGGGGCTCCGGGCCGCTTGCCAGAGCACAGCGTGGTCGAGAGCTTGAATGCCCTGTCAGGGATCAATCTCCGACACAAGTTCTTGCAAGGGATGCATCAAGAGCAAGACACCTGGCTGGCATTGGTTGCGGCAGGTGCACCCTGGTGCACCTTGCACTCTGAGCTGACAACGGCCATGGATCTTGAAAGGCCACCTTCATGCAAGATGTATTCTGAGGCTGCGCAGAAGCGCGTGCTGAACTTCTACGGCCACACGCACATCCAGCAGTGTGTCCCGCCCCTGGTGGGCTTTTGAGGGGTCCGTCTTCAGTTTCGCGAGCTGCTTAAGCGACGCGCAGGACAACCGCGGCGACAAGGAGGATCCCAGCCTCTGCACCGACATCCTCACTGGTGGTGCAGGTGGAAGCTTGGCGGCAGCTCGGGCAGTCCAGCTCGCCCACTCACTTGCAGGTGGTTTGCTTGAATCCTAGTCGGCAGCGCGAGGCAGAAGGCGCTCGCGTGGGGATAGTTTGTTTCTTGGGGACGGTCGGGTGGCACCCGAAGCCTGACGTTAGGCGACGTAGGCGCAGATCAAACTGACAGTGACAGAGCGATTCCAAGTTTCGTGGCTCGGCTCGTGCTCAAGTTTGAAGGTCTGGAGTTGTTTTGCGTGGGCAATCGTCATCTGACTAGTACGAAGCTGGGGGTCTGATAGTTTCTTTTTTCGGGATTATCCGAGGCTGCTGTGGAGACAAGCCCGCGGGCTTCGTTGCCGTGACCTGGAACAAGGATGGCAAGATGACAAACGAGTGCTGCACGGATGCAGCAGCGGCAGGTGGATGTCTTCACCCGATATGACACTCCGGGATTTACAAGCACAGGAAATATCTGAGCCTTCGCCTCCGAGGTTTCCTGCAAGAGGACTGCACGATTCGGGACTGGAGCTTGGTCCAGGACGGGGTCGGCGTCCAAGCATCGTGTGCGGCCGAGTCTTTGCCTGTGCGCCGTGTGGCAGGAGAATGCGACGCGGTCGGCTGCGAAGCCGACAAAGGTCCCTGCCGGCAAGCAGGAGCAGGAGCAGGAGCAGGAGGTGCGCCTGCGGGGCCTGCGGGTGATGTTTGGTGGGTGGTTCATGCCTTCGCCTGGCCCACGGACCGAGGTCTGCCACAATACCGTGGACGACCCCCGGTGCCCGGGATATGCTGGACCCCTGAAGCTGTAGACCCGCGCGCGCGACGTTTCGGCACGCTGCCTTTGTACGGGGTGGTGAATGTCGTGTCGAGGGATGTAGGTGGGGGACTAGAGAGTCTATAGAGGTGCGGGAATTGCTGGGATTGGTGTCTGAGTCCGAATTGTACGCTGTGAAACAGGGACGCTGTCTGCGCGTGTCCGACTGAGCTGGCCAGAAGCGCCATGGCTACGGACGAGCTCAGAACAGATTTGGCATACGGCCGGTGCCCCCCGCGGGCCGCAAAGAAAGCGCCAATGCCGAAGCGCCCCCCCCAAAGGAGAGCCGGCCGCCGGCGAGGCCGGGACTGCGGCCGCAGGTCTCGAAAATGCGCGAGTCTGTTTGAAGCCCGCCCCTCGCGCACCTCGCGGTATCTCCCCAAACCTGGAGTGACGTCCAGCACATGCCGCCCCAGTATCAGAAAGATGAAGCAAGGTGATTCATCCGAATCCTACCCCTGTGGCCCAGGAGCCCTATAGACACCCCAGACACCCCAGGCATCGCACGAGGTTGCACCGACGAGCTTCGAGCTGCTCCCGCACGTTTCACGACTGCGAGCCTGGACGTGCGCACACGGGGACACATGCAAATGGACTCCAACCGTCGGAAGCCGGAAGCGGGGTGAAAAATCTGACAGCAGGCCCAGCGAGCACTGCAAGATCGAATCCCGAGCCTCGTATGGTGCAGGATGCAATAGAGCTGCCGTTCTACTCGTAGTGAGTGCTTCGAAGATCGAGCCCTGAAGAGCCCCAAAAGCCTAGCGGCCGAAGGGAGGCCTTTTGCAAAATGAGGCCTGGGGACGAGGCCTGGCCCGGTAGGGGCGAGTTGCGAGAGCTGCGAGAGCTGCGAGCTGCCTGGCTCTCTCCCGGCTGTTGCTCAAGACGCCTTTGAAGCGCTTTTGAAGCCCCTGCAAGTAACGTGAGACGTATAAGACCCGTCCCCAGACTCAGAGACTCAAACACCTGTGCAAGCTTTCTTTGCTGACCCCGAAGCAAGCAAGGCAGCAAGGTCAAGCAAAGTCAAGCCAGTGCAAGCAGGCAAAAGCAGGCAAGCAAGCCTGCAACCCCAAACGTTTCTTGCAGCGCCACGCTCTTCCGCGATGGCAGAGCCGACGCCCGAGAGGCGAAGCACTCAGGGCCTGAGGCCTGAGGCCTCCTTCCCATTTTCCCATTGTCCCTCCCCTCCTGGCCGCCCTGGCCCTGGCTGAGGAAAGAGCCGACGGAGCTGGTGAGTTGTGGCCGGTGCGGATCCGTGAACTCGGTGCGCTCGAGCCGGGGCTGTCGAGTTGAGGAGAGCTGCGCAGGTGCCGGCAGTGTGTTCCTTGCAGGGCGGAGAGCGAAGAGAGCGACATCTTGGGGCTCGGGGTTTAGCCGGGGAGCCAGGTACCGTTCGGCCTGGACCGCTTCCAGTGCTACAGCTGCGGAGCCTCGGCCACTCCTTTGCTCGCTTTCGCGCCTCGGTTTCGAGGATCCTCGCAGAGCATGGCTGGTTGTGAGCCCTTCTGCGGTGCATACTTCTTTGGTCAAGAAGCAACACCCCTCGCCAGGTCGTCATCTCTCGGGAGACCTCTGCGGCATGTGCTGCTGCGTCGCCGACGGTCCGGGTCCGTGGGGCTCTGGAGTGCAGGACCTTCTTGGTTTTGCAACGAGGCTTTTCTTTCAGAGGCCCGGTGGCCCGAATAATGGGCCCCGAAAGACGGGACGACGCGCTTCCAGAGCTTGAGCTCTTCAGCCGCGAAACAGCTGAAGCTTTGGCTTTGTCGACGCTGAGGCCCTCTACATTGACAACTTGCAGGCACGGTAGCGGCCGGAAGGATGTTCGTGGTCCTGCAAAATTATATTCTGTTCGGGCTGCAAAGAGACCCCCCAATCCCGTAAAATGCGGTATTGCAAGGTCCGCAGGCCATAGGCGCGGCTTTTACACTGCCCGTCGGGGTGAGGTCTGTGAGACTACGTTATGTCCCGATGCCAACTGTCGAAGTGGGCCAGGCGCCTCCACAACGAGAAGGCAGCAAGAGTGCGCCATCGAAAAAGCCGGAGGCCAGCTAGTTTTGTCCCGTATCGCAGAGTTCTTCGGGTCTTTCACAAACTCCGATTCTGGGGCATCCAAAACATCAACCGCCATACCTTGCCATACAGCTCCCCGATGCTCCTCTCTGCCATCTTCTTTCTAGACATTGGGATGGGCAGGCCTCGCGTGGATTTTTCGAGAAGCTCACCCGGCAAGTGGACAAGACCTTGCAGAAGGCTGGCGTGCTGTTGCGATTTGGGCTTTGGGGTCGCGGCCTACGATACAGACTCAGACGGTTCTGTGAAAGCGGCAGCTTCGAATGCCGAAGGGTGACAACAATGCTTGTTTTTTTTTTTTTTTGTGGTTTCATCGGTCTTGTGTGTTTCTCTTGTCCTCTCGTCGCTAGATTCCCTGACTTTGGTGCTCCCCCTATGATCTTCTGGTGGTTCTGTGCCGTTTTGCTGCTTGGAACCTATATTTGAATACCAAGTGTAAGTTTTTTTGTCAACCGTTTCTTTATGTGATCGACTTTACTGTAAGTACATGGTGTGCTGATATTACAAGTATACATATACAAGACCTTCTATGTGAGTGTGTAAAATTATACGCATACTATGGTTGTTTTTTGTTATAAGCAACACATGGTATATACAGTAGACAATCAGTAACTTAGTAAGAATAAAAGCCAAAACATCATATTACATCATAGGCACATAATCACATCATAATATGCTAGTATATAAGCATGTATCATATCATGCCAGATCACTTAATGACAATGCATATCATATCACGTATGTCATGGGTCGTGTTTTGTGGTAGGGCTCGATTTTAAAACATCTTGCGATGTGCGTTTTGTTTGGTGTATATGAGTTTATATATATGTATATATAAACAAACGCACACGGAGATGTGTGTCGCGGAAGGTGGTGTTGCTGGGAGGGTGCACGTCATTTCTGACACATATGGTCGTGGTTTGTAGCTTTGGTGCTTGTGTTTCGATTGCACAGGCACACAGCCATGCATGTGTTGCAGAAGCAAGTTGCAGAAACAAGGAATCGGTGGTCACTGTACCAGTTCGTAGTGGGTGTAAGCTGTGTTTGGTTATGCAGACGTGTGTCGTGCGGAAGGTGGCGCTGCTGTGTGTCACTTCAGACACATGCGTATGGCAGGAGCAAGGAACCCGTGGTTAGTAATTGTGCATACGCATGTGTGTTCAGAAGCAAGGAATCCTCACATGTGAAGCAAGGATTCCGTGGTGACGCTTCCGGTTGTGGCATGGTCATGAATGAAGTGTCGCACCGATGTTTTTTGCGGAAATGCGGAATCCCCGACCTGGTTAGACATGTGCATTTGCAGAAAGTGTGCTGCTGCGGCTTGGGCAAGCGTATGGCGGCAGTACACGGCTTGGGCTCGTGATTGTTGTGCTGGTTACTTGTGTATAACACTAGTATGCACAGACATGTCTACTGCAGAAGGTGGTGCTGTTGGGACTTGGCTGCAGGTCATCTCACGCACATGTGTGTCAGAAGCTAAGAACCCGTGATCAGTGTTTGCGCATCTGCGCATACACAGACATATGTCTTCGAGAAGCAACGGATCGTATGTTGATTGCCCAGCCACCAGCCACCCATGTGTTGCAGCAATAGGGAAGCCGACGTCACGGTTCCGCTTGCAGTGCTTTTGTGACCTTGTGATTTCGTGGATGTGATTTCGCAGAGATGTGTGTTGCAGAAAAACGTTGTCCATGGTGGTCACAAGCGCGAGTGTGAAGACTTTTCAGCGCTGAAATCTACGCCCTAGGAGATTAGATGTGTCCGAGCGTGAAGTGCGGCCTGGCACACACAGACACGTCGGGGTGCAGCATGAGAGTGCATTCCTGCATACGCAAGCATCGCTTCGTGGACGCACTTGATTGCGGCCCTTTGCGATGAAGGGAAAAACAATTCACATGAGGAGTCAACCCAGGCCCCAGCTCTACACCAGAAGGTGCAAACTCCAAGGAGTGAATCCTCGATTGCCTTGTTTAAGTTTGCGATTTGTGTATTCGCGCTTGTCGTGGAGCTGAGTAAAGGGTTTTCAGAGCTTGGGGTTTCGATTGGAGAGCTGTGGCCGTCACGACGTCGGGTTCCAAGCATTGAACCCGGAGGTGGAGCAGTCGCTGTTTTCGGACACCCCGGCTGCCGGGCAGGCCGATTTTTTGTGCAGATTCGGTGCAACACTGTAAGTTGTCAGGGAGAGGAACTTGTAATAAATGCAACACCCATCGGTGATGTGTTTCGTTTTCCAAACTAGTCACTGCCGGTGGCATGGATACAATATGTTTGTATCGAAGAACGGTTGCAGACACGGGGTTTCATTTAGTACATACACACACACATATATATATATATATATGTATGTATGTATGTATGTATGTATGTATATATATACACATCTAGCTATATCTGCCATCTTTTCAACACAAGTTCGGTCGTTAAAGTGGAGCCCATTCATGCGGCAGTCGTTCATTGGATTGCCGGCATTTTGTCCTTGCAGTTCCATTGCTTTGCGATGTTTGCCACCTTGAGTCTTCATCCATGAGCTATCGAGCTACACGATTCCCGCGAAGGCTCCTGCGAAGGCCCCGTCGGCATTGCAGGAGACCGAGTTGCATGCCAGCGGTTGCGTCGCAGGAGATTGCTATCGGATTCAATCGTGAGTAACGGAATGAAGGTTGGAGGTGCTTTTCTTTGGGGTGAGAATCAGCGAGCCTGAACAGCGCACAGCCCCAGTGGCCCGAAGCCGGGGGGCTCCTTTGCCACCAAGGCCTGTCGGCCAGCCGATAGGCGAGGAGGCGGGAGGCTGCAGAAGCCTGCGCGAGCTCTGGCTTTTCTTCCTGCTTGGGTCTCTTCCTTCGAATTGGACCGACGGCCTGAGAGCTTTCCGCCGGGAAGCGTCGAGGTTTCGGAACCCACTGCCCGGGGGTAGAAGCATCCTATGCA